CCTAAAAGATAGATTATTGTAGGTCTAGAGGGATTCGTGTGATCGGTTCTTGGATGCAGAGATTCCTTTGAGGATGGATGAGGAGGAAAGCTAACTGAAATCTAGAAAAGGTCCCTAATGCGATATCCAGCTGGTTTATTGTTATCCTTCGGGGGTAAAGCTCTCCAGAGTTTCCTTTGACGATGGTCTTCCATTACTTGGACGGTGATCTTCAGTTTGGTTCTCCATGGGTTCTCCTTCGCCGCGACTTAAGTACTAGTGTAGTCAGAAAAAAATCGATGTTGTTTTGTTTTATACTTTTCAAATATATTTTGGTTTTTTTTGTTTTTTTCTGTTTCTTCGTTTGTTTCATATAATTATTGGCTAACTCTTTAAACTTTACTCTGTACTTTTTGTTTTGTTTTTCTTAATTCTTCTGTTTGTTTTTGTTTTTGTTTTCCTTGTTTTAATTATATTATTAGTATACATATAAATAATTAAAAATATTACATTAAAATGTATTCGTATATCGTATAGAAGTTGCTGGTTGTTTTTGTTGGATTTATGTTTTAGTTTTAGTTTTAGTTTCTTTCTTTCTTAATTTTTGATTGCGTTTTTCCTCTCCATTTCATTTCTCATTTCATCTCCTTTATAACATTTACTCTCATTTTACAATTTTGCTAAAAACTAAATAAAATTTCTTGTTTGTAAAAACAATAATAATTATGAAAAAAATGTATGCTCAAATAAGTTTAATATGTACTTTTCGTATTTAATTTGTTGTATATATTTTAAAAATAGCAAAAAGCAAAAAAAGCGCCTTTCCATCGATTTTTAAAACATATTTACGTATATTTTTTGCATCATCTTTTTTTCGTTTAAGTTTATTTTTGTTTATGCTATTATTTTTACTTTTGTTATATTTTTATAAAATATCACCTAAAGCAATTACGTATTTCAGTTTCAGTATTTTTTGTTTGTATTTTAAATTTATTTTTACAATGCAACATAATTTTGCTTTGTTTTTTGTGTGTTTGTGTATGTTCTTTTTTTTTTGGTAGCAAAACATTTAATACAAAATTAATAATCAAATGAATTCAACGAATATGTAAAAAGCTCACACAAAAAAAATGATATCAGTTTTTACAACAATTTTTTGTTGTTTGTTTTTATTTTTAACTAAAAAGCAGCGAATTATGCTAACAGAAATGATTACATAATTACAGCAATTTTTAAGTTAAATTTAATTTTTCTTACATACAAATTTTTGTTTAGGGTTTTAGGTTTTTGGGGTTTGAGACAAAGTACAACAACTATTTTTATTTATTTATATTTTTTTTTTTGTATTTCTGCAAATTTCTAACCTTTGCAAGAACATTTTCTTTGTAGTTTTGAAAAAATAGTACAAAAGCTTTACACGTTGTTGGTTTTTTTTTTGTTTTTGTTTGTTTGTTTTTATATTTTTGTGGTTTAGTTAGTTGGCTATAATAAACCGCTGGGAATCGGCTCGACTATAGTCTAAGTATACAAATGACTGCCCATATAGCTGAGGGGCTGCTCTCTACTGAGAGGCAGCCCGATTTAAGTACATTTTTGTGGTTTTTTGTTGGTTTAGTAGTCTAGAACTCAAAATAGTAGTAGAAATTAGCAGAAGAAAGTGTTTGGTTGGTTTTGGTAGCTAGAAGAAGCATAGCTGCTAAGGTTTTCCCTTTTCTAGATTGAGTTTGGATTGAGTTTCCTTTAAATTTTTCCAGTTTGCAAGTTTAGTTTTGCTTAGCATACAACTCCTAAGTTGAGGGGTATCTGGGGTCCAGGGGTTCAGGGGCTCAGAGGTCTGACTAAGAACTATATAACGTACGCTATAGTATACAATGGGGGGCGGGGGGCGGGGGGATGGAGCGAGAGCGAGAGCAAGGGGTCTCTAAGTATCTCCGCTGAGCACCAAAAGCTGCCGCTCTGGCTTCCGTGTCCACTAATTCAATTCATTAAATTACATTTAGCTCTCCTCTTTTCATTACATTTATATAATAATAATAGTATCGCGTAGTTTTCTTCATTTTTTTGTTTTGTTTTGTTTTGTTTTGCTTTAGTAAATGCTTAAAGTTTGTTTAGTTTGTTGCTGTTGCTGTCGTAGTGTGTTTGATTTACGTATATCAATTGTTCTCGAAAGTGTCTCGCACGCTTCCTTGGCTCATTTAAAATGTCGTTCGTATAGGTGCGTTGCAATCCTCAATTAATTAAATTAACTTTAAGTTGGTTTTTGTTTTTTGTTTTTTTGTTTTCTGGTAATAAACAATAATGTTTTATTCGTATACTTTGCATTTGAACTCAGGTTGGGGTTTCTTTTCTGGTATCTCTTTTTACGTATATGCGTTGCATGATGAGAGTTGAACAAAAAAGATCAACGAAAATAATTTTTTCTTTTCATTTGTTTTTGTTTTTTTTTTTTCTTCTTTTTTTGGCAAGTTCTCTTCAGTGTTGTAAAACACCAAAGGAAAAAGGACGTATTATTTTGAAAAATCGTATACACGTTGGCTAAGGTGAAAAATTCCCAAAACAAGAATAATTTGAAACAATTAAATAACTAAGCATAGAAAATATGGATAGAAATTTCTAGGAATTTACTATACTCTTAGCGTTTGTTCTCTTATCCCAAGTTTTGTTTTTTTTTTTTTAGATCTGGATCTTTAAGCAGCAGCCTAGACTTGATTTTTAGTTACAAACTACATGGCTAGAGTTTATCTTTATATTATATAGTTTTCTTTATATATAGATATATATATAGAGAACGTCTTGGGGTTCGAATGGGGGCATAGGGTTTGGTTTGGATCTGAGGTCGGGACTAGAAGTCCGCCTCGTGCTTGATGCGATAGCTGGCATAGGTCTCCTCCAGCGGTGAAAAATCTTGGGTGCTGGGCTGTGATCAAGTTCCAAATGATTGGCACAGATACATATATACAACAGATATATGCATATAGATGGACAGACAGAGAGAGAGAGAGAGTTTAGAAATCATAGGATAGGACCAAAAGGGACTCTGGAGTCTGCAGTTTGTGTGTGTTGTGGGCTATGTCAGTGTCATTGTTGTTGTTGTTGTTGTTCTGGTGGTTCTTTGAGAGGGGACGAGGCTGTGTCAATTATTTACAAGTTTACAAACTCAAAGACCGATAACATTCATCGAACTGAAGCTATCGATCGCACTGGCTGACTGTACCCAAAGCAGCTCGGAGTCGAAGAGTCGGGGCCAGCTTTCGTTTCGTATATCATATCATATCTGTATACATACATACATATATAGATAAATATATATAAGTACATATATATTTATACATACATGCATATGTGGGGGTATATATATATATATATGTATGTATATATGTATATATAGTTTCTATATAGAGTTATGTGCATATGTAAAATTGTTAAAAATTGGTTAGTTTTGGGGTTAGTAAACTTTCTGATAATATAGGTTCATTACTTCAATTTTTGTTTCTTGTGGTTCGTGTGTTAAGTAAAGAAAACAATAAAAATAGTTGGTTAATGGTGTGTGAGTGTTGGGTTTTGTTAATAATAATTAATAATATATTGGCGAGCTATATGGGCCTCTTGCAAAAACGAAGTTCTGGAACATTTTCTTGTAATTTAGTTCTCATTCTTTAGTTTTACTTGTTTCTTCTTTCTCATTCTTTCATATCATACTCGTATTTTCTTCTTTTCTTTCTAGTTGTTGGTACTTTTTACAAATTAAGCGAAATTGTTTGTTGCTCTAATTATTGTTGCTCAGTTGCTTTAGTTCTTGTAGTTTTTGTTTGTTGTTTTTGTAGTTTCTACTCTATATCATTTACAATCTGCTTGGTTGAGATGGACAGTGTGTGTTGTGAGAGAGAGAGTGAGATAGACTGACACAGCTGGGCATGCGGGCGCACAGCACAGTCGTATTGACTTTCTTTAGTGTGGCCTTGCATTCGCAGCTGTTTCGGAACTTAAATTTATGGCCTGTACTGTACACAGAGGAGAGCAAACGAAGTCCAGCGGTAGCAGTGGGGCTGTAACAGCTTCAGCATAGCAGTAGTAGCATTTGCAGCATCAATCGTCAATCGTAAATCGGTATAACTGTTCTGTTCAGTTCGGCGCAGCTCGGTTCGATTCGATTCGATTCGGTCCGGTTGGTTGGGTGTTGTTGTTGTTCGGGTCAGTTCGTTTGGTTTGTGGTCGGAGGGCCGAAGCCGCTTGGAAGCTCGTTTGTCGCTTGTCGCTTGTTTGTTCTTGTTGCGGTACTTTGCAGTCTGTGTTATCGTGGTCTCTGTCTGGCTGCTGCTGGGCTGCTGCTGCTGGGCAGGCATCCTGTCGCTGTTGCTGCTGCTGTTGTTGTGGCTGCTGCTTCCGCTAGGCGTTCCTTTGCTCTCCCTTTCGCTTCTATGGATAATATTTGTTGTTGTTTCTTGTAAGTTTTCTTTTTGTTTTTGCATTCGCTTTGCTTTTGCTTTTGCTTTGCTTTTGCTTTTGTTTTTGCTCTTGACTAATTTACAATGTGTGTGTGAGTGTTTGTTCTTGACGTACAACTTCTTCTGCTTTTGAATTTTTGGATTTGAATTCATCAATATTAATATTCTGATTATTATTGGGTTTCTTTTAATTTGATTTCAGTTAATGCTTCGCTTCGTGTCGCTGTTGCACGCTGGTGTTCTGCTGCCGCTGTGGCTGCAACAGGTGAATTAATGTGACTTAATTTCCTTATGCAGGTGGTAGTGGTAGCAACATCAGCATCAGCATCAGCTTCGCGTGGCACGGCATCTCCATCGCTTGTATCATTGGATACACGTGGCTTTAGTCATTGATCGATTGATTTATTGATTTATTGATCTTGATCATTATTATTATTGATTCATTTAATCCCAGGGCATTGTGAGCACCCGCTTCGTTTTTGCAAGAAGGTCGTTATCGTACTACGAACATGGGTGCACCACCGCATTGTAGCTCGCCAATATAGGACCATGTGCTCCCGCGAAGGGGGTACTCACAACGTCTGGTGTACTAGCTCCATCGGTGTGCGATGTGGAGTCGGCGTTACTCCGTCCCTCACCATTTGCCGAACCGAGTTCTGGTGGTTTGGTGGTGTCCCGTTCGTCGATCACTAAATCTATTGGCATTTTACCCTTTAAACACGATATATAGCGGTGACAGAAGTTGTCGCACAGTTCGTGTACCTGCAACGAGACATTCCCGCGATCATTTCAGAGCACAGAGAAGAGAGAACAGGAAGAGAGAGAAACGAGAGAGAGAGAGAGAGCATGAGTTTGGGTACTCCAAAATGTCACTTATCATCTAATAATTGCTGGGAGTGGGGGTAGGGGTTCGGGTGGGAGGTGGGAGGTGGGGTGTGCTTGGGTGTCGCTGAAAATTTATAGATATACATCATATAGGGGGAGGTGGTGGAATAAATAGATCTTAAACTATGCTTAAACATTGCAATACCTTTACAGAAAGAGAGAGAACGAAAGAGAGAGAGAGAGAGACAGAGACAGCTGCCACACTTAGCGCCATTGCAGTGTTGTATCGCCAAAACCTGCTTCCTCCATCGCCTTGCAAATGGCATGCAAATTGCTTTTGATGCGTTGCCCCAGACACAGACCACGGACCCCAGACCCCAGACCCCAGGCAAATGGTTGATGATGGCACTCAAAAATGGCCGTAGACAACAGCTAACCTAAACCTGGCTCAGAGCATGGCTCCCTTGACTCAGACTCAGACTCTGGTTCTGGTTCTGGTTCTGGCCGCATAAATATGCATAGAGAGGCTCTCGGACCCGAAAAAGAAACGGCAAAGGCAAAGGCAACGGCAACAAAATAATGCATTGGCCAAAAAGGAAGTGCCGGGGCAGCCAGGCTTAGCCGCAGGGCACACTTTTAAGCATCCAAGCAGCGCAACACCAACAGCAACAGCAACATGAGGCAGCACGTGCAACATTCACATTAGCAACATGGAGACGCACTCGCCGGCCAGAGATAGCCGTCCAGGGAGAAGATCACTGGCGTCAGTCCAGGCCGAGACCAGGCCGAGACCAGGGCCAACAAAATGCGTTTTTAAAACCCTGTTGTTGCTGTGGCTGTAGCTGTGATGTTGCAGGCCTCTGCCACGGTGTGTGTGATAAAACAAATGCGATAAGGCCCAAAGTGAGTGTGAGTCAGGCAGGCAGGCAAGCAGGCAGCCAGCAGGCAACGGCGTTGGCGGAGGGGGAGCCAGCCGAGGCACATATGCAAATATGCAACAAAGAGAGGAATGCAGCCGCCGCCACGGCTAAAAAGAAATTAATTGCACTGGGCAATGGCAGCAGACAACAACAGCAGCGGCAGCAGCGGCAGCAACAACAGGGTGCTCCATTTAGGCCGGGGCCAGGCATTTAATTTACGAAAAAGTGCGCGTTGCTTATGCAAATTGTTTGCTGCTGTTGCTGCCGCTTCTTTTCTTCATTTTTGTGGATCGCTTTTGTTTTTTTGTTGCTTTTTTTTTTTTGGCCTGCGAAAGCTGCAACAGTGGCTCTGTGGCTCTGGCTGCTGCCACTATTAACTTGTTGCCCATTGCCAATTCCCGAAGTTGTCAAACTCGTTTGCAGGCTGCTGCTTTCAATGTTATTGTCACCAAAAAATAAAAAAGATGACGATAAAAAAGCAACGGCCTGCAACTGGTTTATGACAGGACAATGTCAAATTTGTCGCTGTTGCTGATAAGCAGCCACAGCAGCGACAACATGTTGCAGGCAACATACAGTGTCGTATCAGTGTCCCAGTCCCAGTCCCAGTCCAAGTCCAAGTTTTATGATTGTGTTTGCTGTGTGGTGTAGCTGTCAAAGTGACCATAACAATATCCATAAAGCTTGCAATTAGCACGCCGGCAACATGTTGCTGCTGCCAGTGCCAGTGCCAGTGCCAGTGCACACATGCAACATGAGCACACACTAAATTGATATGTTGGAGAAGGGCCCTTTGGAGACTGGCCGAGACGATGCTGGGACTCTGATAACTTTTGATTAATTTGTCAGCATTGTATGTGACATTTTCGAACGGCTCATTGCGATATTTATGACTCGCGGGGCCCCCATGATGTGGCACATTGGGTGGGCCCCCAAGAGGCAACCAGAGGGAGACGGCTAGCAGCAGAGAGAGGGCGTTGCTGGTAAATGCCCCACTCGTTTGTACATCCTGTTAAGCACAGCTTTTCACAGCAACAGCGGCTGTGTTCTTCCCCCCTTTGCAGCTGCCTCTTCTGGCCGGACGGACGGACGACTACTAAGTGCAGAATCCAATCTAATCGCAATGCAAATCGCTCCAATCTGCGCAGTGGTAATTCTCGATTTCCGCTCATAGATAGCATTAAGTATTCCCCCCAACCAGATTCAGATTCAGATTCAGAGTCACACGCAAGCCTCCCCACACACGAGTCGCCGTCTAACAAGTTCCAGGTCTCAGTTCTCAGTTCTCGACTCTCGGATCTTTCTTCTTGCCACTGACATTTAAATGAAATGTAATTAAAAATAATTTGAAATAAATAAATGTTTGACAGCGGGGGATTGAGATGAAGTCTGGTCGGAACGGATTGGATCTGTTCTGGACTGCCTTCTTCTACAACATTCGAAATGTTATCCTTCTCTGGGTCGCAGAGTGCATACTTTGGCCAGGTTTTGCCTAGCATCCCATCATTCAAAATCTTCAAAAAATCTCCCCCAATCTGCTGTGTATCCCTCAGCTTGCATCATCATCATCATCATCGGCAAAACCAAAAGTATACAGCTGTCGATGTCGTTGTTGCTGCTGGGTCTGGGGCTGTTGCTGTTGCTGGTGCTGGTGCTGGTTCTGTGTTGTATAGCGATCCCAAAGCGATCTGGCCAAGCCATCAAAACAAGGCCCCCAAATCGGTGTTGTTGCTGTTGTAGTTGCCCCCATGCCGGCATTACCCCAGCCGATTCTCTGGTGCTGCTGCTGCTGGTGCTGCTGCTGCTTACCCCCTGCCGGAGAAGCGTGTGCAACTGACCCAACGTGTTGTCTCGACAGTCTCTCTCAGTGTCTCTCTGTCTATCAGTCTGTTTGTCTGTTTGTCTGTTCGTCTCTCTGTCTGTTTGTCAATTGCAATGCCTGCCTGCCTGAATGCTGTATTTTTTTCTGCTGTGTGATGTGTTTTTCGTTGTTTTTTTTTTTTTTTTTGCATGTGACTCTGTGACGAGAATTGTCCGTGTGCTGGGGATCTGGGGAGCCGTAGAGCTGGGCCTGGAACTCTCGAGCTCCAAGCTGGGGACCGGGACTGGGACTGAGGCAAACCAGTTTTGACAGACACAAGTCTTGAAACGTCTTTTTAACTGATTCTGTTGCTGTTGCTGTTGCTGGTGTTGTTGCTGTGGCAGCGGCAACAAATATGCACAGATACAGATATATATATAAAATGTACAGATCTACAGATATATATATACATATATATAGATGTTGCTTTTTGTTGTTGTTGTTTTTTTTTTGCAAGTCAGCCCGCACATTTTATTTAAGTATATTTTGTATTTCTTTTCATTTATTTCGGTGTTTTTTTTGTCTGTTTTTTGTTGGTGTTTTGTTTTGTTTTGTTTTTATATTTATTTTATACACCAAAAATCGACCGCTGCATTTTGTTGGCTGCATATAAATGAATGTGTTGTGTGTTGTGTGTGTTTTTTTTTGTTGTTTTTTACTACTATATGTACAAGTTGCTACAGTTCTTTGTGCTGATTGTTGCAGTTGTTGTGGAGTTGGAGTGAGTGTTGTTGCAATTGTTGTTGTTGGTTTCGTGTGTGTCGCAAGCTGTGTGAGTGACAAATGACAAAACAAAAACCTGTCGTGGACTCTCCGGCTCTGCTGCCACCGCCGCTGCTGTGATGTTGATAAAGATCTTGACTCTTTCTGGGTCCCCGTGTGGCTGTACAGGGTGCTGCCTGCAACAAATTGCAGCTGGCTGAATGACAGACAGACAGACAGACAGAGTGACTGATCAACTGACTGACTGACTGATGAACTGTTGGACTCACTTTCCTTGGTGACCTGTCTTACTGATCTAGTTTTGGCCTGGCTTAGAAAGCAGCCTGCGGTAATTAACATTGTCCATCGCATAGCATCAGACTAATTGCAGATTGATTGACTTCTGCGACTGTCTGTACACGTTTTGATTTGTTTCGTTTCGTTCGTCTGTCATTAGCCCCATGGCCCACTCTCCATAGAGAGACACACAAAGACACAGCATTCCTCAGCAAATGACTCGGATATACGATTCGGAGTCGGAGTCGGAGTCGAAGTCGTAATCCCCCAACTCTATATTCTTCGGGCGTTTTGTCTTGTTTGGTTTTGGTTCAGCTTTTGTGTTCTTTTTTTGTAGAATGTTTTGCATAATTTCTTACTTAAGACTTAATTGAAAAAGAGTGAAGAGTGAGCCCTCTTCGGACGGGTTTTTGGCCTGTTCTGCCCTGGTCCGGGCTTAACTGCGGCTCAGCCTCGACGCAGCCTCGACTTGGAGTCCGACTTGGGTTTAGGTTTAGGTTCTCGTTCCACGCTTCGTTGCGCATTTGCCTAATTAATTTTCTCGGCACAGCCACATCGGTAAGGGTGTAGTGGGTTGGGGCGGGGCGGGGCGGGGCGGGGTGGGGTTGGGCATCGGTCAGCATTAATTACGACCACGTTTGAGGAACAACTTCCATTAAGCCAGTCCAGAACGAGAGACACGCACCCGAGTGCCTGTCCCAGTCTCTCTTGCATATTATTTGAAATTAAAACAAATTAGGCAACCTGTAATTTTTCCATTTAGACTATAAAGTGTCTAATAATCAAGTAGGTGTTGTAGGAGAACGCGAACCCACCCTTCCTCCAAGAGAAATGAAAACTTTAGTTGGGAGACTAATTTATGTGGCCCTCTTATCATGGCCGAAACATCTAGGAACAGTCGGCTAGGGTAGGGTAGGGCAGGCAGTCATCACACCTCATGTATCAACAACAAAAGAGAAGCCGAAAACTGAATGCATTCCATTGTTGCAGCCAAAAATTGGAAGGGAAATTGTGTTTTCTTTTATCTTACGCATGAAACTGTAACCAGCGACAAACAACTGCAACAAACACCTGCCGCTGTGCCGCCAGTCAAATATTTGTTGCCACAAAAAACTAATCCCCGCAACACACATCCTGCCCAGGTCCGTCGTCCGGCTACAACTATTCCACTTTGATTGGCAATTAATTCAATTTTCAGCTGCATTTTTGTTTCTGACTTTAATTTAGACATACTGCAAGTGTATTAGACAGGCCGGAGATATATGGTCGCCTGCTGTGGGACAGAGGCAGACCCCTCCCCCTGCCCCTCCTTACCCACCATGAAATGTCAACACAAATGTTGGTAATTGAAATGCGCGCCCGCTGGAAACTATTTTGGCTCGATTTTTGCCATGTTTCTGTTTTGGCCTGGTTTATTTATTGGCCTGGTCGGGGGGGTCCGTGTCTGATCTGTGTCTGGTCCTGTTCCCGGTCCTGCTCTCAGTGTGTGTCCGCACCGGCCTTTTGGGTGGTCTTTTTGGGGCGTTGATAAACGATTGGAGCCGACTCTTCGGCTCTCGATTTGCCGTTAATTACAATGACTAAACAAATGTATTTTCTTGTAAGATGATTTCGCATATTCCGGGTCCAGGTATTGCAATGTTTAGGCTTTCGCAAGTAATTTATATTCAAGATGTGCAATGTTTTACTTACTTTTTCTAATTCTAAAAGGTGAAACCGAAGTACTTGTATTGCTTGCACCATCTGCAAAGGAAACGGAGAACATATATAAATTAATAATCGTGCAAATACAAGCAGGTATTATACTATTAAACAAACACACACTCAATCATTCCCGAGAACCTTTCACAGTCCTTGGGCATTGGGCATTGGGCTTTGCCTAATTAAAACATCAGTTTGACATTTGACATTTTTACGATGCTGCTAACTGCTCAGAACTGCTGCTGTGTGGTGTGTGGCCCGGACCGGCCTGCATTTGGTGGTTCTGCTGGTGGGGCTACTGCTACAACAGCCAAGAATTTCATTTAACCGCGCTGCAGCATGCGGCATGCTGCTCCTAGAGACATGCTATAAACATTTTTATAGCAGGCGACCTCAACTGCTCAACTGCTCTGCCTCTGCCTCTGCCTCTTCCTTTAAGTAAGTGTTACTAAATGCACTTTTAAATGTTCAAACACGATAGCGGATGGCGGATGGTGGATGGTGGATGGTGGAGGGCGGATGGTGGTCGGAGCAGGAACGAAATTGGAGGCAAAGCCAACCACAGAGTGGCATGCCAAAATGATTTATGGCCAAAGTACGCAGACGCAAACGCAGACGCAAACGCAGACGCAAGCGAGGCACACACATGGCCATGGCCAAGACGGAGAAAGATCCGCCAGACGCAGTTGCAGAAGGTGGGGCATGGTGCATGGGGCATGGGGCATTCGGTGGGGGATTGGGTGGCCTGGGCAGTCAGTGATTTTGTACTACAACTAATAAACTAATCTGCAAGTGCATAAAATTAGGGCCACCAGAGATCCCACTCTCTCTCTCTCTCTCTCTCTGTGGCAGATGCAACTTCTGCTGCTGCCGCTGCTGTTGCACTGAGTGAGTGGGTAAGTGAGTGACACATTTACGACTGCCAAGAGTCGTTCGAGTGCGGTGTGGTGGCAATTAAAATTAGTTTTGCCCATAATCTCTTTATATGTGTGCCAGCCCAGCCCCAGATCTGTCCGAGACGCGAGACGAGACCAGGCCAGGCCGGGGCAGGCCAGGCCAGGCCGGGGCAACTGTTCCCCATCCGCAATCCACAATCCACAAACCGCCATCCACAATCCACAATCCGCATCTTCTTCTGCTTCTGCTGCTGGCTACCCAATTGCATGGCTCGTTTTGCACTTTTTGCACGCGGCATTTCCGTCTTGATTTACATGCCAGCCGAAATGATCTCTCTCTCCCCTGGTCCCCCCCCCCACATCCCGCTATCCCACTCTGACTCATGGTGGGGCCATTAAAATTGTTATGACTCGGATGCCAGCGGAATGCCAGGCAGAAAACTGAGCAACAGAGCAGGGGGAGAGCGAGAGAGAGAAGCTGAGATAATCTGCGGGGCTTTTGCCTGGATAATGGCCCTACGCTTGGTATAAAAATTGAATCATTTGTTCCGTAACTGGATTATGGAAACATCAATTTGGTATCTGAACAGCTTGAAATCGATTATAAATCTAAAATTTATAATCTATAGATTTTATGATCTTTTAGAATGGTTTAATGGTAGGTGTTCCCCCAAAGAGCTTCAAGAAGTACTCCCCTAAGGGAGATCCTAAAGATCCTAAAAGATCCGTGCCTCAATCTAAACGATTTAAATCGAACTTCCTCTCCTTTATGGAGGTATCATGCAATCATTTCCTCTAGAAGATTGTGTACTTGGGTATGTCCTATAAAGACGATCATGATCAACACCAAGGTTGCCTTGTTCTTGGTCTCTTGCTGCTGTTGTTGATCTTCTCCTGCACCCCAGCACATCCCCACTGCCCCGCAGCAGTAAAGAGATCCGATCCGAATGCATATTCTACAAGCCTAAAGCCGTTGGCTTCATTGTTGCTGCTGTTGCACACCCAAGGCTGCCAGGCAGGCAGGCAGGCAGCCCATTTAGAGAGTGCAAAAATGTCATATGCATCATTAAATCGTTCTGCTTCATATTGTCGTTCGCTTGGGTTCGCGCTCTGCCGCTCCCTCTCCCTCTCGCAGCGTAGCGGCATGCAAAATGCAGAGCAGAACACAACACAGAGAGAGAGAGAGAGAGTCGGAGAGAGAGAGCAGCGCAGCGCAGAGCAGAGCGAGAGGAGTGAGAACGAAAAGTATGGCAACGCTGTCCGATAAAATGTCTAAACAACTCAGTTTGTCCCGCTCCCGCACCCGCTACCGATCCAACCAAATGCTGCTGCTGCTTTGATGAACAAATGCTCATAAATTGTTCGCTTCGTTCGTTGATGCTTTGCTCTTTTGCTAAATTCACTGTGATTTATTCTAAATAAAAGAAAATTATTCAATTGTCGTCGTTGTTTTGGGTCAAGGTGATGCACACTCACACACAGGCAAACAGATACACACACACACAAACACAAATGCACAATGTAGCCATGATCTTTGGCATGGCAACATGCTGCCAGAGGAGAAGGCAACATAGTTGATTTTGCTTTTGTTTTTGCTTCTTTTCTTTGTTTTTGTTTTTGTTTTACTTACCAGTGAATCGACTTCGGGATCTGCGGTATAGTAGGGTTTCTGTGATCTTATCTGCAAGAAGAGAATGACAAAGAATTAGAGTTAGTGAGTGCGAAGTTTTGCCAAATGAAGGAAAATACTGGGAGAGGTTCCGAACAGCTGTCCCGATCCAAAACATAGTCATCTACGAAACGGTAGGGAATGGTATTGCTATTTTATGATGGTCTTTGGAGAGCCGATAAGGGCCGCCTGCCCAGCCAGGCAAAATATTGTACACATTATAAAAAAAAAAGACCATGAGCAAATCGGTTCCAAACGGAGACCATGGGAAACGAAACATTTGCTCATCCATGGAGAGCCCGGACATAGACATAGACACAGACCCAGTGCCAGTGCCAGTGCCAGTGTCAGACCCGAAGAGGTGACGCTGACTCGCTGTGACCATAAAAGAGATTCTCGTTTTTATAGCCCACCCCGAGACCGAGCCGGAGTCCCAAGCCCCCGGCCGAAGCCATGCCAAAAGCAAAAACAACAAACACCACATAGATATAAAAATAAACCACACACTTAGATACAAATCACAAAAGCAATATCTGGCTAGATAAAATACCACACAGACGGAGCCACAGATGGAGATGGAGACCCGAACCGAACCGTTCCGAACCGAACCGAACCCAGCGACGACAGCAGAAGGTCATCTCATCATCGGATACCGCATCGCATCGCAGCAGCAGCTGAAAAATGCTGCGCGAATTATTTGAAATTTGAAATTTCTTTGTTGCTGATATTATTTTTTGGCTCTCACGGAACTGCCACACCAAGCGCAGGGCAGCCGTAATAAATGGCCGAGACAAGCTCGGGGTCTTCACAGATAGGCGAACCGGCAGATCGGATCGGATCGGATCGGGCACACACACCCACCCGCTGCGATCTTATATAACGGGCGAGAGCCGACCTTGTCCAAATTTGTGGTACCACGACAGACACCGACCACCCAGAAACACATGCAACAAGGTTGCAGCGAAGGCGGGAGGTCTCTGGATTATGGACGTGACCCTGAACGGAGTCTTCCCTGCTATGCAAAACCTTGTAGAACTGAAGATCGATCGCCGATGAGATTGATCTAAAGAGACTTTGGAGATCAGTTGAAGATCGGCTTGTCTTGAATTTCAGTGGAAGTTGAAGATAAAGAATAAACTATATAACAAAGGCAGGAAGCTTCTTCTGAAATCATCTAAACTTAAGATCGATATAAAGATCACTCGCAAAAATATAAAGTTTAAGCTATAAATGAGTGGTTCCTCACTGATCTAAGCGTATCCTCGCTTTACAAATTTCCATAGAAAGTCAACCCATGCCCTACTGATCTCCGACAGTTAAACGGGCGATCTTTTGCGGCAACACCCCACACACAGATACAACTTGCAGATACAGCTACAAAGGCAGCCAAAGGCAGAGCTTACTGCCAGCCGTCCAAGGCAGTAACGGCAATTTGAAATCAACTGAGGCATGTGCAGCTAATAATTACACACTTTGCACACAGACAGACTGACAGGCTGGCAAAGCGAGTACGAGTACGAGTTCGAGTAGATCGCTGGGGAGTTGGAAGTGGTAGACTTAAAGACGGACGGGCGGACTGGCGGACGGACAGAGTATCTAGATATGTGGGCACTTCCACCCGAACCGTACAATGGTTGTATGAGAAAAACGCCCCATTGTGCGGCTGCAACAACAGCAACAGCAACAGCATAATACGAGTAACAACACACAAAGCACAGCCATTGAAGACGACGACGACGACGATGATGACGATCAAGGAGGAGGTCGACAGCGGAGGAGCAGGAGGCAAGCGGTAGAGCGGAGGAGGTTGCGTGTTGGGTATTTTGCAAAAGTTGTTGCCTGTTGGCTTTAATGTTGCATTTTCAAATGCTGGTTGGTGGATGGTGGATGGTGTTGCACACACACACACACACATAGAGCGAGAGCGAGAGAGAGAGAGAGGGACAGATGGGAGAACTTGCCAAACTGGTTTTTGCCATGCAGGTCTGAGTCTTGGCCCGGAGTCGCGGCCAGGCCAGGTCGCGCTTTAGCTTTAACTGATATGAAAAGCAGTCAGCCAGAAGTTGGCCGGGCGGCATACAGCACGCACTTTACTGGATGCGCCTCAAAATGGCTGCCCCCAAAACCTTGAGGAGTACGTATATCTTACCCCGAGCAGGAGCTACCTACCAATTCCTCGTTGAGAGCGAGAATGTTTTTAAAAATATATAAATCATGCGACCAACTAGTGAAATGCACAGCATGAGACATGTCTATAAATATCCCCCCCGGCCAGCAGTTGGGGCGTGAAAATGGAAATGGAAATGCTTTTCTCGCTTTCTTTCCATCTTTCCATCTGATGTGTGCGTTCCCTTACAATTTTGTCAACATGCAGCAGTGCGTGGGCGTCTCTTGCAGCTGACAATTTCATATTTATAGTTACACACACACACGTCCACGGATTTCCGTATAAATAAACACAGTCTACAGTCTAGAGTCTTATTTGGGATCTCCAATCTCGCGTTGAGTGTGCGGAAAGCCCCCAAAAACAAATCGCCAGCAACGTCACGCGCCCCAGTCCACCGCGAACCCCATTTCTAATCAGTTTCACATGAGCCGCTCATAAATTTCTATTTTTTCTGCTCGATGTTGTGTTTCCTTTTTTTCTACCTCTGTTTTTTTTTTTTGCAATCCCCCAATGTCGAGAGGCGACGACAGGCGAAAAGAAATCACTACTGTTTAGATACTGCTCTTCAGAACGTTTTTATGATGCCAATAAATGCAATTATACAACACAGAAAAAAAAGGTTTACAATGTCATCGGCAGGCGACGGTGGCGGTGACGGCGATCGACAGACAGACGTCTGTCTCCAAATCGGTGGCCCGAAAGATACAAAAATAAAACCCAAACTGGCCCGCGTAGGTGGTCATAAATTTCACTCCCCGCCCTCCGATTATGCGGGGGAATTTTGAAATCAATTCCGCTTCATCAAACTGCACAGAAACGCCACGTGCTGGCTAGCCATTCCATCTCGATCCCATCTATATATAATATATGGAATACTTGCTCCAACAATCAAAAATCTCTTGCCACAATTAACGAAACATGAGACACCAAAAAACCAAAACTATGCCACAAAATCTGGGTTCATAAAGAAGGAAATACGCATAGTCGTATTCTACAGTTTGTTTTAGCTGTAGACTATATGTTTTTATAGTGCCAATACAGGCTAGGAGGAATTTTATAGCCCCGCGACCTGGCGTCGTTGTGTGTTGGCCATAAAATCATCCAGAGACCGGGCATGGGCCTGGGTGGGTGTGAGAGAGGAGATAGGCCATAGACCAGGTCTACACCCAACAGTAGCAAAAGTGTGTATGATGGAAGGCACTTGAGTAATGTGGCCATAAAGCCCAGTAACAGCCCCAGCCCTAGTCCCTAGTCCCTAGTCCCTGCTCTCTGTACCAGTGCCAGTGCCAGTACCAGTCCGAGGGACCATAAACAATTTATGCACTATAGCAGCGACTTTTGGAATCAGCGCTAGCTGGCAGCACAGTAGCCAGCGTTGTTGTTGACGTCGTCGACACTGTCGATAGCCGGCCACTTGAGAAAAGAGTGCAGTGATAACAGTGATAACACCCCAAGAACAACAAAAAAGATTCGCCAGCGGTACCTATAAACCGAACGAAGACTTTCATACAAAGAAACTGAAAGGAAAAATCTCAAAAATATATACTATATACGAATCCAAAGTTTTCTGGAACTTCGGGACGGACCCAAGGGACAGCGGGTGGCATGGAGGCGCCTAAATTGCAGCACGTAGCCACATTATATTATTTGAATGTTGCGTGCCTCGGCGCCAGCCTCATGCGGGTCCCCCTCCAACCTACAACCTACAACCTAAAGCCACACCAAGCCACTAACATTATAAACAAACAGAAATACAAACAAAATACACATATTTGAGAGCGTGAACGAGGGAGAGTCTCTTGGAATTTTATCAAAATTTGTATCTCTCTCTCTCTCAAGAAGTGGAACTGAGATCTTTTGTGGGGATTCTGCAGAGACCTAGACAATTGTTGCTGAAGAAGAGCAACAACGTCATGGAAATCTCTGCTACCCTCCAAGTGAAACCAAAAACCGAACCGAACAGCGCCAAAAATCCTATCGAATTTCTCACACCTACACAATGGGCGGGGGGTTGCACAATGCCCCCCAAAACAGGGACACCCTCGGCCGAAGGGGGGGTAACAACTCAATTGGTGGCTGCTTTCATTGAGTGAGAGAAAACATCTTGGGGGATTTTATGACTAAAATTTTGATTTGGACCCCTCTCATCGGCCGCCACTGTGCCGCTGTGTAACCCACAAAAAACGCATAAAAAAAAGCACCAAAACTGAACAATAATAATTTTGTTGTAATACAAAACCAAACTTTATTTGCCTAGCTGATGATGATGACGATGACGATGAAGATGATGATGGTGATAGTGATGATGATGATGTTGTTGATTACTTTTACCCGACATTAACATCCAAAGGCAAATACAAATAGTACAAAAACAAAGGCGCATCGCATCGCATCGCAAAGCATCGTAGCGCAGTGTAGTTGTTGCTGTTGTTGTTGTTGTTTTTATCTATCTATCTATCTTTATAATGGGCGCACAATATCGGTAGTAAAACATCCACAATTGAGGTGACACAACCAGAACTGGCAGCAGAAGCAGTCAAGAACAGAAACAAAACCAGACCAGACCGAACACAGACCGACCCCCCCACTGGCAGTTTCTTTTATAACCCCACAGAGAGAGAGGAGGAGGAGGAGGAGACTCCATTCCACTCCAGTTTACGACCCGAAAGCAAACGGTGAACGCAATGTGGCAGCTACTGCGGCACATACTCGTACACTACATGCACACTTCTAACGCTCTTGTGGCAGCCGTGGCAGAGTGGGTAAACATTGGCAAACAGCACACAGATAGACCCACTCGCTCAGAGAGTGTCAATATTTGCATGGCCACAAGAGATTTCTCGGGCTCTTCTTACCTGTTCGCCCTGTTACCACAGATACATAGATAATCATAACATCCGGTCTTACTTTGCCTGATAATCGCCCCGAAAATAACTATATAATCGGGGTACTCGTTTAAGAGTATGTTTTTATGGAAAGATGAGTGACATTGTCCAACATTCATTGGCACAATTTGTCATTTACAGCTCTCGCTTCTTTGGCTTTTAATTGAGAGCGTTTAGCAGACATCTTGTCTAGAGGGCAGAGCACTCATAAATCATTTCGGTGGACAGGTTCGCGAGAAGGGGGAGGGGGGGCGGTGGAGAGGCTTCCCATAAGTAACGCCACATAAATAAAAGCGCAACGAAAGAGTGAAATATCTGTGGGATTGCTCCTGAGAGAGAGAGAGTGAGAGAGAGAGAAACACCAACGATTTCCATAAGCAAATCGAAACATCATCCTATCATTTGTGGCTCTATTTCTCGAAATATCAAATTGATTTCGGGCTGTGGAACACCCTAATGGTTTAACCTATTTGATGAACGTATTAGAGGGTCTGCGCACTGCGATAATGTATCTAACAGACACACACTCGATCCCTGAAATATAGAGCTGTTAAAAAGGGTCAAACTACTGTACAAATATTGGGAGTCATCAGGGCCGCAGAGCAGCAGCTACAGCCACAGATACAGATACAGAATGGAAATGGTGGCATAATCCAAACATAAACTCGCAGACGAAACGTCCAGATACATTTAGGCAGTTAACTAAATAATCACATTTAAAAGGCGCCAAGTGGTTCCATAAACAAATATTTGAATGTGGGACGCAACTCGTCTGGCTGTCTGGCTGTTAATGGAGGAAACGGTAAACCACATGCACCATGCACCATGCCACATGCACCACTGTAAAGTAAATAATCGGATCCCTCCCAGGGCCTGTGCCAAATCATTTCACGCTGTGCAACGCAATTCCCAAAAACCAAGAACCAAAAAACAAAAAAAATAATAATACCTCCCCTTGGAAATTCCTCCCGTTTCGAAGCCCATTCCCTCTGGCAACAGTTGCGTCTGCGCTTTGCTCATTTCGCAGTTTTGGCCTAACAAAAAATAGAAAACGAAAGAACGAATCTTTTGTTCCACTTCAGAAAGAAGAAATTCAAAACCCGCTAAGGGTTGGATCAGCCGGGGAAAAAACAACACACACATACACGGACATACGGAGAACTAAAAAGAACAATGCCTTAATAATAGAGAGAGAGAGGGAGAGCCATAGCCATTGCCAGAGCGACAGAGAGGCAGATTAAAAAGGTACCAAATTCCAAATAAAAAGGTAAAGGTTTCTGTATTTTTTATCATTAAAAGAACAAAACAACAGCACAGATCGAGGGAAGAGGCAGAGGCAGAGGCAGAGGCAGAGGCATCCCAGAGTGCTAGAGGGGGAACCAACTGAGTCAGGGAATATTGCACAAAAGAGATTAAGTTCCTTTTTCTTTTCTTCTGCCTTAAGGCCCCGAGAAACAGAAACAGACGGACACAGAGACAGAGACAGAGACAGAGAAACGAACGCAAATGCGTAGAGCCGAGAGATATGTTCTCTCTCCTGTAGGGGCAGGAAGATGCAGGAAGAGATCCCAGCAATCCCTGGCAAAGTGAACATTCCAATGAGAAGCCGAGGCAGAGGCCGAGGCAGAGGCAGAGCCTGCTCCTGCTGACAATACAACTGCGCAAGCGTAACCTTTCATACCTGATTATGAACCTCAGCCCAGCCTCTACTGCCTTCTGCGTTTCAGACGAAATCAGAAAATGCAATTTACGAAACAAAAACGAAGAAAAAACACAACAGCCAGAGCCAGAGAAAGATATAGAGAAACAAAAGACGGGGGGAGAGAAAAAGGGAATTGCCTTTTGTGTGGGGAAAACCCGAAAGAAAAACGAAATACTCCTACATTGATTGGTTCCGTTAACCTGTTCTATGCGTACTACCTGCCGGGAAATGGCCGGCTGAAATGTTGTGACAGTCTAGTTAATGTCAAGGACAGACAACTGGCCATCATATGCAGAGAAACCAGTGAAGAGGGACACGGGAGACACGGGAGACGGATAGCATGTGATGGGATGATGAAATCAAAAATCATCGGGCACATTTAGCCGCACTTCATTAATCATCGGGCCCAAGCAGACAATCCTTCCTCCCCAGGCTGGCTGCCAGGCAGGGCAGACGTGGCACGCATGGCCTGCAACTGCAACAAGCAGTAACCACAGACAGAGGAGCCGCAATGGCACAGGCAAAAGAACAACCAGCAATGACAAGGAGACAATGGCCCAATGTTGTCAGCAGCGGAATCAACTCGTTGCATGTACAAACTATTAGCCAAACTGCCACAAAAGTCGTGTCAAACCACAAGAAGGGGATCGCAATCGGGGAAGAATCAACCCAAAAGTCGTCTGCCAAACGAGATGATTTTCATTAAAAATTACTTAAAATGAAATCATAAAAATATATACATACATATGTATATATTGTGTATATTCTGTTTTGGGCAGACTTTCCTTTGTCTTTTGGGGATCCTCAACAAAGACACAAAGCACATTATCCAATGGGGAGAAATGACAATAATGATGGTGATGATGATGATCATCATCAAGCGGCAGCAGCAGCAGCATCAGCAGACAACGAACTTTTGTTGGATCCCAATCCCATACCGAGTATTTATACATGTAGGCATATACATATATATATCTTATATTTCTGTTGTTGTTGTGGTCCATCATTTGCATCACATGTTTCTGGTTTTAAAGAGAAATTATAAAGCGTTTCCTTAGCTGCATCATTAGCAGCGCCAACACCAAAAGTCGCCTAACTATGTATGTATGTATATCCATCTATCCATCTGCCCGTCCATCCAGCCAACAGCCAACAGAGGATCGGATCTCTCTTGGATCTCTTGGCTCTTGGCTCTTGGCTCTTGACGAGGGGGAATCGCACCCGATGTCTGTGTGGCGTTGGCGTGGCGCATTTTACGCAGTTGCTTAGTCCAAATTAAAGTGAATTTATATATAGAGGAGGGACAGAGAGCACTGAGTGAGAACGAAGAGATATATCTATGCAATCTATCTATATAAAATGCATCGGCATCATCATCATCAACAGCAACAGGCAACAGGCAACAGCAGCGGCAACAACTGCTTCAACAGCAACTAAAAAAGTGCCAAAGCATTATTTTTAGCGTCCTCTTCTGGGGCGAGGCGACGACGATGTCTCCCCGCCCTGCCCACCCCTCCACTCTGCTCCACTCTGCTCCTCTCCTCTCACCAAAGATCTGGTCTGTGCCGTAGTCGCTCGTTTGTTAAAATTCGATGGGCGAATGACATTTTTGAGTTATTTTTGTCAGTCCCGACAACGACGACGACAACGACAACGACAACGCTGGCCCCGAAATGGCCAAAGTGTTCCGTTCTGAACCGAACCGAACCAAACCGAAATGAAATGAAATGAAATGCAAGCGATAACTTAGTTGTTGACGTTCAGTTCGGTGAATGATCAACCAAATGCTGCCTCTAAAGATCGCTGAAGATCTGTGCCGAACAGGGTTTTGAACTTTGCCAAATGCCGAACGGAACCATAGCTGAAGATCAGTTAAAGGTGGGTTGGGTGATCAATCAATGAGCAAGGTGTGGAACGATATAGTAGACTGCCAAAAGGTTCGGTGATCGGGCTAAAGATCGTGTTCTATTTAGTGATCAAACGTGATCACTGATCATTCAAAACAATCTCCCACATTTATCTTCTTGCCGCTGGTGTTGCCAGATCTTAAAGATTGTCCCGCAGACTACTTTATGGCACATTTCATTGACAATTCCGACAAAAGTTCATCAAAATCTCGCCCAGCCCAGCACAGCCCAGACCGGCCAAGATAAATGTCTCTCCGCACGAAGATGGTGTTCAAGTGTTGTTCTTGTTGTTTGCTGGGTTTATTGCCCATAGCAGGGGCCTGTCAAAATTCCAAATGGACCATAAATAAAAACATCATTTTTATAATATTCAACTGGCCAGGGCGGAACCGCGGAACCGCTTGAGGGGGCGTTGCAGTGGTTGTTTCTTGGCTTTGCCAAAAATGTCACAAACCGTAGAATGGAGCCATAAGTTTTGCTCACTTTTGGCATCATCATCGTCATCAGCATGATCGTCTTCGTCATGATCTCCTTGGGGCTCTCGCTCTGCTGTGTGCTTCTGTTCTCCAAGGCGATCTTCAGTGCCTCATAAAAATAGCTGCCCCAAAGGGGAGCAGGATGTACACACACCAGAGAGAAAGACAAAACGACTTGCAACATTATAATTTGTATGTTAAAACATCGTAAATTATTTGAATGTCAGTGTGTGGCAGAAGACGAGTGAGTATTCGTCTTCGCTCCACTGTTTTTATGAACTCCAAAAGTGAAGTGGACGGGATTGAAGGGGGGGCGGCTTGCAGGGAGGAAGTGTCAAGTGTGGGCAGCGCCAGGCTGGAGTCGCCTCGCATATTTGTGACATATGGCGGCAAGACATTGTCAGCGGAGACTGTAATTAAGTGCAGACTGCCCCGCTCATTGAAGATGGAAACAAGACAGCGAGAGGAAGGAATCGATCCCAAAACCAAAAACCGAAAACCAAAAACCAAGAGAAACCGAACTGAAGTTGAAGCTGAATCTGAAGCGATCCTCCGCTGGGTAACGTAATCCGATCATTTAGCGGCTTGCTTCGTTAAGTTCGTGTGCCGCGATTTAGTGCCACATGTGGGCCATGTGTTCCCACAGAGATTCCAGTATCGTACTGGTACTCGTAGCGGGAGAGAGCGAAAGAGAGAGAAAGACACACTCCTCCCCCTCTCGAGCGGGTCTTCTCCGATTACACGGAGAGTCGGAGAGCAAAACTTGAGCCATTATTCTTACCTGTTTACTGAACATTGCAATATCCTCGTTAAACGATTCCGATGAACAAACATCGCCACCTTGCACCCCGGGCTCCCTCGGCGTACATGTGGCCAATTCGCATTTCTCGAATATGAGCGCCAATAGCGGGAATAGCGGATGTCTGTAAGGAAAAGAGAGACAAAATATATCAGTTTAGCAATAATTTCGGAACAATTTCCTGTCCCCGGATCCTGTGATCCTGCAAATGCAAATGCAAATGAGCATAGAGAACAGCTGCTGCTCCTGCTGCCGCTCTATCTGCGAGTATATCTAAATAAATAATCCCCCATGGGCCACTTGGACTCTTTATGCTGACGGATTAGTTCCAACAACTCAACATGATTTGACCATTTTTTCCAGGAGTATTTCCCTTTCTTTTTCAGTGTTTTTTGTTCTCCTTTCCGTTCACGCTTAGAGCCGCACAAATTTCACCTGAACAAAATTAGGCGGGGTTGGTCTCCGTCCCAGTCCCTTTTCCCTTGACCAAAAACCCATTAGATGACCAGCGAGGAGGGAACCCAAAACCCCGACCACCGAACCCCGAACCCAGAGCCCAGAGGGGGTGTGGACCTGCGCTTAACAAACTATTAATAAGACTCGGCCTCGGCCTCCGACTGGGCTCTCAGCCTTTTACAGTTGAGTGCGTTTCCAGTTTAGGATCAGGACCAGAAGCAGAACAAAAAAGTAAAACCCAGAGACAGAAACACAGAAACAGAAACAGAAACTGAATTTCTGTGGCACTCATTTGCCATGACTAAGCAAAAGAGCAGCGGCAGCTGAAGTTGTTCTGCACTCGGGAGGAAGGTGTTAAAAGAGAGTGTTTCTTTTTTCCCATAAAAATTAATTTAAATTTCATATACTCGAAAAAAAGGTGCCAAAAAATAATAATAATCATAACAATGTTGTTGTTGCTGCTGTTGCACACAGGTGCCCAATGAAGTCATAATCATAATCATCATCCATCCATTGGGGGGAGCCTTTGTTTGGCCAGACACTCGAGACGGACGGACGGACAATCATCAAACAGTCATCAAACAGCTGATGGATGGGCCAAGTCATTCATGAAATTCTGTGCCTCTCCCTCTCAAGACAAATATTTGCTTAAATAAAAAATGCAGCGGCAAAAACGATCGAAAGACAAACAAGCATTTCGGGCAGTCAGGCAGCTGGCAAAACAGTTGCAACACATGAAAATTGGCAGTCAGCGTCGGTCCAACAGGACACGCAATGACACAAGGGACTCATCTCTCTCCTTCGATCATGTTAGAAAAAAAAAACGAACAACAGAAGAGAGCTATAAAAAAGATCAAACAAAGAAGAAACCACAATTTTGGCAAATTAACACCCAGGAACCGCAAAGGGAACGAACCGCAGCAACTGCAGCTCATTTTCGATGGATGGATGGTTGGACGGGACTGGACTGGACTGGACTGGAGTGACTCCCTAATGCCTAAGCACGTTCATGTTCCGTGTCCGTCACTAAACTCTTGCCACACCCCCACAGAGAGACAGCGAGACAGAGAGGAGAATTGGAAAACAGACATTTTTGGTCGAGCCAAACCCATAATTTTGTATTTTGCGCAAAACGCACAAGGATCACGCCCATTTCTATAAAACGAAAACAACGAACGAAGGATCGCTTGCCGCTCTACCTCTTCCATTTTGAGGAGAGTTACGCGTGCGTTAAAATGATGTCGACTCCCTCGCTGTCGAGGTGAGAACAGGTGGCAGATTGGGTCGCAACCACTGGGACATGCCCAAAATTATTAATCAATTGGGCAGAAAGGTTCGGATATTGATTGAGGGTTGAAAATCGATCACTGATCAAAACTAGCAGATGATCATTGGAGATATTTTAAGTGATAATTGATCGTTGATGGAAGATCCCCATTTGAATGGAAACTTTTTTGCTGACTGATCATATGAGCTGATCTTCATGAAATATTACACTCCTTTTGTAATCTAGAATTAACTTGTAGTTGAAAATTGACAGTAATCTTTGCGGATCTTCGCGAAATACCTTTCATGATCATTCGAGCTGATCTTCCATTGAATGAGCGATTGTAAAACTGATCTTTGTGAATGTAGTAGCGATCCTTTCAGTGATCATGTGAGTATGGACTTTAAATGATGCTCAAAAGTTCATTGATTAGTTTTTGTAGCTTGACAACACATGAGAAATGGGATCATCATTTGGTCAGCGATAGTTTTGGAACTGTTTTTCCTCTCAATCAATTTCATTTCTAATCAGTCTCAGATAATCCCTGACTCTATACGAAACGACAAAGATCATCTTGGGTGACCATTTACAGCTCGAAAGCTAAGACAAGTATTTGATTAGATTACCCTTCTTCTATCTTAGTTTAAGGTCTTGTCTCGAGTCTTGTTGGGGATACTTACTCATAAATCGCATCCTTATCACGTTTGTGTACTTCGGGTATTGCGCCCATTAGGTGATTACCAACCGGTGATACATGACTAGGTGTACCATGACCCCCGGCCCCCGAATGGTAGCCGTGCATGCCGACTGTGGCCGCAGCCGCCGCGGCATGCGTCATGTGCGGTGAGTGGTGCGAGGGGAGGCCTTGCAGGCCGGGCGGCCGATGTCCAGCATGTGGATCATACATAGCCGCCGCCGCGGCACCGGAGTCCATGCCGTAGCCGTGCAGGCCATCGTCATACTGCAAACACAAAAGATAATACAGATTAGTTATAGAATATATGTATATACGAGTGGTAGATGGATGTTCAAGTGTTGTTCCCAGCCAAATTAGCAGAAACAAAACAAAAAAAAAATATTTAAATATATGCATTTAAATATTTGTGTGGCCAAAGCCGAAGACTCACAAAAAAAAAGCGATTCGCTTTGACCTTGTGATTACTTTGCCGCCGCTTCGACATTATATGGATATATACCCACGTATATATTCATACATGATATGTATATATATTTAGTTACCTTAGCGCTCGTCTTGGCTCGTCTTTTCTTTCAACGTTTTTTGCATATTAATTAAGCGCCAAAAGCAGCCACCAGCAAATGGCAACAACAAAGCGACAATTTTTAATGTTATCAGTTAATCTGTCTATATAGTATATACCTATGTATATATATCTTGGTGTTCTCTATCTCTGTCTAAAGTTGTACAACATTTTTTGGATCCGCGCAATTGCAAACTGGTTTGTGTGCAACGGCAAAAACAGTCCTCAGTACTCGTACTCGTACTCGTACTCGACCCGAGAACTTATTTTGTATACCCTTTGGAGGAGGGTAAGCCGGTAATGGAGAGCGGGTTTGGCACTCGCAGAAGGATGAAACCATCCAAGGATGGATCTGCCTGTTCTTAAAGGGTATCCCTCGTTTCGGCTATACTTTTGGCTGTAATTTAACCAAAGTTCAACTGCTGCTGATGTGATGCCTTTGATTCGTTTTCGTTGTCAGTGGTAGTACGAGTATGTGTGTTTTGTAAGATTTTTATCATTTGTACTCAAGTGGCGTCCGTCGCCTGAGAAGCTTCTCTGCTCCTCTTCACACTGCATAATTTGAGGCAAGTTTGGTTCGCCGAGAGAGACAGAGAGTGAGAGAGGGGGGGAGAAAGAAGAGAGGCCGAAGAAGTTGACAAAAAGATTTTTGTGCAGCGACAAGAAATGATGGTGGGCCCTGGGCCCGGGGTCCCCCGTTCCCCCGTTCCCACTCCACCGTCTTCTCACACATGAAAAGTCTCGCCAGCAAGTTGGAGGTTTTTTTTTTATCAGCCTGGAAAAATCTTTGACACTAAATGAGCAATTGACTTGAGCCGGAGTTGAAGTTGAAGTTGGGGGGGGGAAAGAGACGGAGAAGTGCTGTAAAAGACAGACAGGGAGCCACACTTGACTGAAGATTTTGAGCGAAATGTCAAGGATTTGCACCTGGAAGCCCGGGCCAATGATATATTGGTATCTGAGGCTGTGCATCTGTATCTATACTTTGAAATAGTGCAACTGGCTCATAAAGCAGCTGCCTCCGTTGTGGCAGTGGCAGTGCCACCTGCAAGCCTCGAGTTGACTTCAATTCGATTGTCAACCTTTTGCAACGTTTTGTTTTCGCTCTGGCAATCCTTTAGATACACACAAAAGATTAGTCTACTGAGAGGCAGTGAGGCAGCGAGGCAAGGTAGAGGCAAGGCAGAGGTAGAGGTAGTCGTGCAACGCTGCTGCCGTTTTGGCGTTGGTGTTGCTCTGAGCGGGCGTATGCAAGATACAAACCTATAGATACAGCCGCAGAAGCGGGGATCAGCCGACTGGTGGGTTCGAGTCGACTCCAATCCAATCCACTCCACTACACTCGCTTCGGTTCGGTTCATGGCAGTTAAACTATAAAGTTGTTATGCTAATTTTAGTGTTGGTGGCAACCGTACGTTGTCGCTGCTTTTTTGCTTTTCTGCTGCTTTTCGAAATGAGGAAATTGTGGAGCAAAAGCCGTGCCAACAAAGAGATCTTGAAAATTACCACAATTTGTACTTGTACATAAGTAATGTGGGAATTTGAGTAACAGAGAAGTACTAGGGGAGGGGGTGTCGAGGGAGAGAAGGTTTCTCCCCAGGCAGACACCAACAAAAGAAGAGTAAAAATCGAACAGGCAAATACACTTAGCCCCCTCTGGGCCATCCCAACCATTTGGGCCAGCTTTGATTGATGATCTCTTTCGGGGCTCAGACCCCAGACCCTCACTCAGTGACTCTCTCTCTCTCTCTCTCTCTCTCTCTCTCTCTCTCTGGCTGAGCTGTTGTTTAGTGACCAAGCCATTGACCTTGTTGAATGGCGGCTCTGGTGGAAAGCTCTGCAACTGACAGCGGGGCAAAGTGGGGTGTTCGAGTGTGTGTGTGTGTGTGTGTGTGTGTGTGTGTTTGGATATTGATCCATCCAGAAACCAACCACTGAAAAGCCAACAGTAAACAGTCGCTGAGTGCCGCGCCGTCCGAGTAGGCCGGCATTTCATTCTGGTCTGATTTTGACAAGTTCAGCGTCGAAAATCCTTCAAAAATTTATGACGCCCCCTGGCCGCACACACACATACACACATAGAGAGAGGGGACTGTCACTGACAGGCGCTGAAGGAGCTGCGGCGCAGAGTTTTCGGTAACCAGGCACAGTCGGGGGGCAGTTGCTAGTGCCGGGCTCTGGCTGTTGTCCTACTTGCTGCTGCTGCCTGTCTGTCGCTGTTTGTATCTGTGTGTGAGCGGCGCTGTGCCTGTGTTTGTGCTTGTGTGTGCTTTTGTCGTGTTTGCGCGACATTAAGTCATATCCAAAAAGCCTACTGCACCCTCAAGCCTCAACTCAATTGAAATTTTCGGGCAAAAATATTCAGAAATATGTATTTTGGCTTTAAGTTTGGGGCACAGAAGTGGGTGTAGAAGGGTGGCTGCAACAGAATGTTGCGTGAACTTGAAACCGAAAACGTTGCACGGCACATAGGCTAGAATAGAAGCACAAACACAAACACAAACGCACACACATGGCCAGGAAACAGCAACAGCAAGGACATTTAGTGGGTGAGAGAAACGAGAGAGGAGTGTTGCAACAACGGGGACAAAATGTGGCAGATAGGGCGGGTGGCACCTTTATCTAAGGGAAGGCCCCAAAACTGACCAAATGCCAGACACCCATCGAGTGGGTGGGGCAGGCGGAGAGGCAGTAGAGTTATGAGTGCAAAAATGCAGGCATGAGAGCGAAACATGGTGTAGACCCCCCTCGCTCTCCCTCACTCTGTGTGTGTGTGTGTGTGCGTGTACGTTTTAGGCAAAATGGTGACAATGGCCGCCATTTTACATAGTCATGGTCGTAGTAAGAGCTCCCATTTCCCCCCACCCCCTGCCCACCCACTAAAGCCTCAATATGTTTGCTGTTCGCTGCCGAAACTCCATTTCTATATCGATTTCTTGGCCTTCTTTCTCCACAGCACTTTTGCTTTTTCCCATTTTATTTCCATTTCATTTACCCCACCAGCAAAACACATCAAAAGAGGAAAAGGGGAAAAGGGGAAGGGGAAAAGGCGGTGGGGAATATTGAAACCCGCAACATTCTTAATTGCGATGGGGCGGCCAAAGGCCTAATCAAAATTAATTGTTTATCATGTTGTATTTGTATTTGAATTTCTTTCCATTTCTTTGTATTTCTCTATAATTCTTTTTCGGGCTGTTCTGTTGTCTTTCTTGACTTTTGCTTAATTAGCAGACGAGCCGCAGTGCACGGTTGTAGGTTTTTGGTTGTAGGTGTGTCCCAATCCCAATACCAATCCTACCCGATTTCCCCTTCCCCCTTCCCCCTATCTGCTATCACGCCCAGTTTTGTTTCTGTTTTTGGGGCCGCCTCAAAAGTTTTATTTGGTGTTAGACAATTAATTTTTGTTGCGTGTCTGGGTGTTATTTTAATTTACAGTTGCAGCATTTCCAGCCAACATTTCTGCTCTTTCTGTGTGTTTTTTTTTATTAACTTTTATTGCTTCTAATAACAATATTATCGAGCAGGCAGGCGGACATCAAACGCTGAGGGGTTTGTCAACGGCCCAAAACGTGCGCACATTTTCTGTCCCTCTCCTACCAAATTTATGTCTAAAAACAAATACTTAACGCAACAGCAACAGCAACAAAATACGCACAAATATATAAATAAATATAAAGCAGAAAAATTAGATGCTCGGTAGCCAATGGTGGATTGGTGGACTGGCAGACAAAAAATAAATGCAAATAAATGTATTCTTTGGCGTTTCGACATTTATCAAAAATCAACAACACATGACGTCAGTCGGCGGCATTTATTAAATTAAAATGAGCCCCAAACTGGCAGATGATTAACAAAAAACCAACAAACACAGCAGCAAACACAGCCAGCGGCATTTGTCCAAAAAGGTAAATTCAAATTTCGTGTTTCAGGAAAACAAGAAACAAAATTCGATTCAAAAATAAATTGAAATAAAAACAGAAATTAAGCAGCCGAAAACTTTTTCGCGGAAAGTGTCGTGGAAATATTGAAAATTAAAGGGGAAAATGCAGGAATAAAAGTGAAAGAAATTGGAATGTAGCTTTGAACATTTAAAAAAAAGCATTTAAAATTTTGGACACATTTTTAACATTTATTTGGGGAGATAAATGTTTATTAAATTAACAAAAAATTTAAATAATATAATTTTAATGAAACTGAATTTCCTACGAATATGCTCAACTTTTAATTGATCTCTTAAGAACATCGCCAACCAGCCATCTTTCTTGGCTATTTAATTAAATTTCCAGGCCTCGAGGACCTCGAAAACTTCCTGCCCGGACAAAAGCACTCTGTTTGCACCATTTAGAGGCAGAAACAAAGAGCCAAAAATCTCTTGGAGTTTCTCCTGGCTGGGGCCAAAGAAAAAAGTTACTCAAAAATACGAAAATAAATTGCGTGCTGATGGCTCATTTAATTTAATGAGCGGCGTGCAACTTGTCTAAATGATTTTTCCTCTACTTTACAGCAGTTTTTTCTCTTCATTTTTCAGAGTTTTTTTTGCTGTTGTTTGGCGCTGGCCCGCATGGAGGGCCTGGCCTCTTTCATAGATGGATCGGATCTGGCCGAAAGAGTTTTCTACAAAAATGTAATTTAGTTTTACTTGAAAATTAGCGAAACACTTTGACTTAATGTCAGGGAAATTACACACAAGAGGAAGAGCGGAGAAGAAACAGATTATTTAAAATACTTTATAAGACGATTTAGGCGTAAATGTAAAAAGAAATGAAACTAATGAAAACACTTCCAACGGCAGCCAGCAGGCAACATACTGTTGCGACCTCGTCAAACTTGGCAACTATGTGTACCAACAACAACATGGCCAACAACTACAACACCGGCAACAACCAGAGCACCAACAGGCACCACCGCTTCGACCCAAGAACGAGGCACGCAATTTGATCATTAAACATGAAGCTCTTTAGCACACGAAAAACAACATCGACAAGAGAAAGAGACAGAGACAGAGTCTGAGAGATGGGGGCAAGAGAAAGAGCCACAGTGGAGGAGCAGAGCAGCTCATGTGGATAGGCCCCATATAGAGCCTGGCAAAAATATGCATATGTAATTTGTTTATAAATATTCCTTGCCGCTCCACTCTTCTCTGAAATAATTCGCCCGGCCTGAGAGAATTCCCAACTTTCATTGGGGAACTGAACTAAACCGAGATACATATACCTGATAGCCAGGCCCAGGCCCAGGCCCAGGCCCAGACCCAGGCCCAGACCCAGGCCCAGGTATAACTGATCAAAAGATACAAAGGAGAAACTCTCTTCTGGAGCCACCATGACTCACGGGGAAGCTGAGAGTCGCAAGAATTTCTCACTTAATTAGAAAAGAATTTCCAGCGAAGGTTAACCATCTCTGGGAGATTAAGCAGAGATGGAGAATATTACTAATGAAATATATAACTGCAGATAGGGATAATCCATTCAGATAGAAGAAGGCCCTGAAGATGGGGGAAAGAGTTCTGGCCATATTCTTTCAATATTATTCTGTATTCGCATCAAATCCGCAATCTTTCAATCAACTTTTTCCCCCAACTGTGTGTTCGGCAGAAATCTAACAAGTAACGGCCTCACGTTGCACATCGAATGGCATTTGCAGCATGCACCGCAATCTAGCCGCTCGCTCTCCCCAGCCGATTGCTTTCTATTTTGATTTTATTTCTGCAAAAAAAAAACACATATATAGAGGCAAAGCAATCACAGAACAAACACACAGAGCGAGAGCGAGAACGAGGGGAGCACACACTAGACGAATTATATTTTATGCCACAAATTACGCTGCGGTTAACCTTTAAATTAAAATAACACCAAAACAATTTTTGTGCTGCATTTTGCAGGCGTTTGAAATGGCACGGAAGACGGCAGGGACGGGGCACGGGGCACGGGGAGTGCCGTTGCCAGTGCCAGGGACGGAACGGAGGTGGCGAGGTGCTTGTGGCAGCTGCACATTGCACATTTTTATACAAATTGCAATTGCACATTTTTTCGCTCTCTCCCGCTCTCGCTCTCTCTACCTTTTTGTAAAGGCATCAAATAATCAAATTAAATATACATATGTATATACAAAAAAATATATGTGAAAAAAACGAGCACTTCCCGCCATTTTCCGGCACGCACAAATGTCCAAAAATGATAGTAGTGTGATGATGGAAAATTATAAAAATAAAATTGTAAATAATAAAACCGCAAAAAGAGAGCGGGAAAGCGCGAGAGAGTGAGAGAATAAATGAATGTCTGCCACGGCCTCAGCCTCTTTTCGCTCATGTGCAATAAAATTATATGCATCAAATGCACACAGAAACAGATACAGATACAGATACAGACACCCTGGCACACACAGATACAAACACGAGTCCCAGAGTCGAAAAATTCATTTGATGGAATTGAAATGCCGCAGGAGAATAGCGAATACAGACAACGGACAGCAGGGAAACAGAGGAGGGGCGGTGGGGTTACGGCTTCGGGACAGAATCGTGTATTAAACCACAAGCGTAAATTTATTCGCCAGTAACAGCAGCACCCAGTGCCCAGCACCAACAACAAACACACATAAAAATCACCACACAACATTCCCGCGGGCATTTCACATTTCACATTTTTTCGTTTTGGATATTTCATTTGGATTCTTGTTGTTCTTTTTAATGCTCCCAAAGAGCACGGCCTACCATACCTATGGCCAGTCATAATTCACTCTCCACACACACACACACACATGAAGTAGATGTTAATTGCTAACACACACACACACACACTCGCACACAGGAACAGGCACAAATATGGAGAGTCTTTGCTCCGTTTAATAAAAAATCAAGTTCACTTCGCAGGTTCATGTTAATCAATTGATAAAGTCGAAAGCAACAAACAAACACACCAAAAATATAGTAAAGAGGCAGCTCTAACTGCGATTTGCCAGAGACTGCTGTTGGCCACCTGATTAGCATATTATTTATGATCCATATAAGTGGTAAAACATAAACATAAACATAAAACTCATTGAATCATATAACCACGTAGAATTGTGGCAGCGGGAAGTTGGGTGGAGAGTGTCCTAAAGGCACTTTAGATTAAAGAGTTTGTTCTCAAAGATTCCAATGATACTGGGAGTTAAGAGCACTTCCGCTGAAGACTAAGTACAAGTAAACTATCGGTCATCTCTATAAATTCGAAAGATTATTTATGATATGTTAGATCTGCGTAAAAGTCCTAAAAGTCTTTTAAGGGCAGTGATAGAAAAACCTCTAAAGGTCATCCAACAAAGTCAACTTTGGTTCCTTCTTAGGAATTTCCATTGCTATCATGAAACGTTGAGGTTTAGCCGTCGGTGTCCTATGTATATACTAGAATCTCTTCCAGAACACAGATTTTTGGAAATGGAAGTTTCCTAATAGCTCGAATACCTTTTTGAAATACAATGCTATAATAAGTTTTCCCCCAGCATAGCAAACACAAATTCAACTACTTAATTCCACAAAACTTGTATGAGAAAATGACCCGCATAAATCATATTTGAGAGAGTCTCTCCCCACACACACACTCGATTAATGTTGCTCCAAGATGGAAATTTCCCTATATAGAGACTTTACGAATTGCCACCACACTTTGCCGATAACTGTTGGTGCCGACGGCATTTGATTCGAACCAAAAATACTGAGAAAAGATAGGCACCCGACGGGGCCGTCGCTAATTTGGCTGGGCTGGGAATAACAACACTTCTGGGGATATCCCTATATAGTTTTTGGGGAATTTTTTTGGTTGGTCGGTACTTACCCTGGGCTGAGCCATTAATGCTCTGGGAGCGACGTCTAACCCGATTTGTGCCACTTTTGGTGTAGAGAAGACTGTGGGGCGACACAACACACAATTCGACGACGGGGCCCGCGTCCCTTGTGTCTGGTCCTCGTTGTGGCTCTTCCAGTTGTGGCTCCTCGACGCTTGGGGCTCTTATTCTGGCAGATCTGTTGTTTGGGGACCTCCTGCTTGGGGGTCTCTGGAAATTCTGTTATTTTTTTGCTCCACTCAAAAATAGTGTTACAGAGGAAAAATCACGTATAGTAGTTTTTCCGGCGTTTTCTTTAGGGATTTCTTTGCTTTTATTTATTTTCTTTTTTCTTTTCTTTTTTGTTGTATTATTTTGCACTCTTTTACAATATACTTTTATTATTTTTTTTTCTTTTCTTTTAACACAGGCACATTCGTTAAGATTTATGTATTATTATTACGTTTTTTGTTGTTGTTGTTGTTTTGTTGCTTGTATACTTGTTGTTGTTGTTGTTACGCGCGCGTTGTTGTTTTAGTTGTTGTTGTTAAGCGGGAGATCTCTTAAGAACTTATCTTTTTCTTCTTTTTTTCGATTGAGTTTTTGTTGGTTTTTGTTGTTTGTTATTTACATATAATATTGTAATGTTTTGGTTTATAAAAATCGTATACAATTTGTTGTTGCTTTAGTTGCTGTTGTTGCTGTTTTTGTTCTTAGTATACTGCTGTATTGTTGCGGCTGTTGTTGCCACATAGCTTTGCAATTTTTGTTGTAGTTGTCATAAATCCATGGCTCGAACTACTAGAGTAGCTTCCTCTTCGTCGATCGATCCTATCCTCTTAGGTTTGATCTTCCTTTCTTTCAGATTTTAGTTTTCCAATTTCCGATTGATTTCCTTTTCCGTTTTGCTTAGGGTGTTATTGGTTGTTGTTGTTGTTGTTGTTGTTGTTGTCGTATACTCTTTTTGCTTTTCGTATAATATGCGCACTATTTATCACAGCTGCTTCTACATACTATATATGTAACTAGATCCTGAACCAAAATGAAAACGCAATTAACTTTAGTTGGCTGTCGAAACGGGGCAAAACTCTCAGACGTTTTAGCGACGGCACAACGTACATGTGGGAGTGGGTAGTGTTTGCTCTTCTCTTGAGGGTGGTGCTGAGAGGGGGACAGCTACAGCTACGGCTACGGACGGGGGATCGTCGGGATCCCCTCTGCAACAGGAACGTACCCGTTGAAACACGCTCTACCCTTGACGGTTCATGGAGGCTACTTTTTCTTTTACTGCTGTGAGGCGAAAACGTAAACGTAACCGTAACGCGGGAACCCGATCCGTTGCGCGCGCGATTTTGTGCGTTTTTTGCGTTTTTTGCGATTTCTTCGAGTTGTTCGGTGAAATGTTATTTGTTTCGCTCAGTTCTTGTATTTTCTGTTGCTGTGCGGCGGCAATAATAATAAGAATAATAAAATGGCGCTCCGCAATAGGCAATAATAATAGTAATAATAATAATTCTTTGCTCCCAACGACTTCGCTACTCGCTTCGCACACGACACAGACGAGACAGCACACAGCACAGACGAGGCAGCACAACACGTCGGCACGAGGGCAAAAGATACACTGTCATTGTCAATCATTCGCCGTGGTGCCGGCCTGAGACTCAGTCACACACACACACACTCAGGCACGCCGAGAGCGCGCGCGAGAGAGAGAGAGGGAACGAGCGACCAACACACTCGCACGGCCACACGGACATGGCGACGCAACAATTGTGCCATTAAAATATACTAGCAGTGGAAGCGGGATGGCCATACAGCACTCGCGTTGCCACTTCTGTGTGTGTGTGTGTGTGTGTTTGTGTTTGTGTTCGTGTGTGCGCGGCGAAGAGAGCGCATGCGCTGATCGCACGATGACTGATTTGTTAGTACGCCTTTTCTGTCATACACACACTTGTCACAGTCCATTCTCCGTTCTCCGTTCTCTCTGCCGTCGCTCTCTCGCCGTGTTGTTGCTCCTTTTGGCCGTGTGTTTTTTGCCTCTTTTTGCGCAATGTTTCGCTTCGTTTTCTCTGCCTCTGCCTCTGCCACTGCCACTGCCTCGGCCTCTGTGGTGCGTTCGTACGTTCGTTTGAAATTTATTTGGCTTTGGCCAAAAGGAGACGGCTTATAGGTTTTTGGCTCTCTGCTGCTGTCGCTGCTTGCGCTGCCGCTGCCTGCGCTGCCGCTGCCGCTGCTGTTGGCGTTTCTCTGGTGCGTGCGTTGAAAATCAGCAAAAACCAATCCCATTTGTTATTTTCGCTTGAGTGAGTGGCAGTTTGCATCAGTTTTGCCATTCAGTCTTGTGCGCTCTCAGCGCCCGCCCCACCTGTGCTGCTGCTGTTGCTGGCTGCTGCTGCCCTGCTGCCGTGCTGCCGTGCCACCCAGAGGGGTGGGTGGGAGCTCCGAGCCCGAGTCCGAGCCCGAGACCGAGACCGAGTCCAAGTCAAAGTCTCGTTGAGTGCTTTCAGGTGTTTCTCCAGACGCTGTCCGTCAGTCAGCTTTCGCTCAGCATTTTTCAGCTTCTGCTCTCTTTACCCGCACACACACATGAACGCACTCACTCAGCTCTCTCTCACACACACACACACACTTACGCGCTCTCCCTTTCTCGCTCTCACACATGGCAGCAGCGGCTAAGGCAACGCCTTCGAAGAAAGAGTGAAAAGGAAGGAGCAACAACAGCTTGGTGCAGGCCTCCCAACCACCCAACACCCCAGCCACCCCACCACCCAACACCTGCACTCCCTCTCGTCCACAAAAGCTGTCGACGATCTGGCCACTTAGGCATTGATCCTGCCAGGAACAACAAAGGAGAACAGCTGTTTGGGGCATACCCTCCACTCCACTTCCTCCTCCAACGGCGGCGCTCTTTGGGGAGCCAAAAATTGCATATCCTGCAGGTCTGCTTCTGGCTTCTGGCTCCTGTCCCATCCTGTCTGCCGCTTTTTACAGTTGCTAGTTGTTGTTGCTGTTGTTGTCCGTGTCGTCGTCCTGGTGGCAGTTTAAAAAGCAGTTAACACATATTCCCAGGCAATTTTTCAACAGCGTATTTTTGGTTTTGGCGCTGCAGCGGCACCACCACCAGCGGCAGGCCATTACGTGTGGGGCAGTCGGAGGCGCCGTTTTTAGGAAAATGAAAAATAGCCTTGTTTGTTTTTCCTCTCTTTCTCGGTTCTCTCTGTTTCTCTGGCGGCAGCAAAGGATATCCTGCGGACTGGCCAGAAGATGATGTTGCACTTAATCTGGCTGCCATTTCATTCCATCTTTGATCTTAAGTGCGACGGAGTGGGGCTCTAACGGGGTATACGCTATCTGGTGGGTTGCTCCACAGTGGGCTCTGTTGCCTGTCAACGCTCTGACAAATTTATGAGACTGTGATGGATTTGCGGTTGCTCTTCTTTCTTCTTTATCAGTGTGCCTCTCATTCTCTCTTGTTTTTGCCAAAAATGCAAAAAAATTCAGTAATTTATGCGCAACGAAAATCAAATCAAATAAAATCAATTAAATGCAATAAATTAAGGTAAATCTCTCAGTAGAGGGTGAAGAGCACGGAGCAGGTGGAAGATGGGATCGGGGACAGCGGTCAGTGAGCGTGGGAACTATTTTTTCATGGGCCTTGGACACAATTTATGTGCTCGCCCCCCACGGATCGATTGATATTTTGGGGGAAAAGTTCGAGGACAGCAAAAAGAATACTACATTCCAAAACCAATTAAAATAATGAAGAAAAATGAAAAAGATATCAAAAACATATAAAGTAATGAATTATTTCTATGGCATATATTATTGGGGCCCCAAATTGTGCGAATATTATACCCAATCTGTCCTTTAAGATCAGATACGATATGAAATGATAAGTAGAATCAAGGTGCTTAAAAAAAGTGGAATAAAGCTTATTGAAAACAAATAATGCTAAAGAAACTGAATAAATACCACAAAATACTAAAAGAACCGAAAGGCTAGAGGAGGACGTCCAAAAGTGTACGAACATCGATGAACTCCGCTGAGGGATTCAGGTATTTTTTTGGTACAAATTGCTCCATTAAATATCTGGCAAAGCAGTCCATAGGAAATATTTAAAAAATACTCTGACAAATGTAATCGGCCCTTTTTGCCTTCGAGCAATTTGCACGTGGATGCGAATGTACCTTGGCCATATCTAGGGTATTTATCATGATTATTTTTGAAATAAATAAATCCCAAAAATAAATAAAAACGTTTGCAATTGGTATTTCCCAATAAGAAATGAAAACTCAACAAAAGTAAAGGAATTTCATTTTGAATTGAAGGGACCCTGAAATTGAAATCAGCCAAAAATAAAAAAAAGAAGCAAAATAATGAAGAAAGAGGCTGGGTCTCCACCCACAAGAGGGTGGAAAGAGGGGCAACGAGTCGAAGGAAAAACCTCAAGGAAAATTGCATTTGGAAGCTTCCAATCCCAGACGAGAGGCTGTCGTTGCTTGTGGGTCTTCGGCGAGGTGGAGCAGGAGGATGGGTGGTAGGGGAGGAGTGCCAAAATGTGGCTCTCACCCATACTGAGGCGCACACAGGCACGCACACTAATGCCGGGCAGCCAATATGATTTAAAGCAGAGGCAGCGCCGTCGACAGCGACAGCAACGGCGACGCGCTGGTGTTGTGTGCATGACAATTCATCTCTTTCTTATAAACGCAATTTATCAAATGGAAACGACGAGCGAGCGACAGCAAAGATGAAGACGACGACACGATATCAAGTGATGAGCAGGACAGACTCTGCTCCACGGAGCGGCTGCGAGAGGGAGAGCCAGATAGAGCGAAACTCACTCAAAGCACGCAAAAAAAATGGCACAAGAGAAGAAAAATAGGAGTTGTTTTGAGACAACTTCTCTCTGTTCTCCGTTCCGTTCCTTTTCGTTTTCGCTGTCGTTTTTTTGCGCTGTGACTGAAACCGCCATAATCTTGACAGACAAGTGCCTCTCTGCCTCTCTCTCACTCAGCAGCAGCACACACACACACGCACACGCGACGAACACACGCGCGCGCGTTCTCTTCGCCGCACTTTTAATGGTTTGTTTTTGTTTTGTGTTGAATTCGCCGCGAGAGCGGAAGAGCGAGAGCAGGATAGCCTGTGCACTCCCTTCGCACGAGGCACGGGCCAGAGCGAGACGGGCTGTGTGTTTTATGGCCACGCATCAGCTGTTCACAGTTCGAGAGCCACTGGATGGGTCGCGCGCGATGCCAGTTCCGATTTTCGATCAGGATTCACATTTACCTGCATATTTACCTGTGCGGCG